GCTATATGCCTTTTTTCTTAATGGCCAATGATGAGGCATCTGAGGCCTTCGATACTGGACATTGGTTCAATGGTTAATGAGGTTTAGGCCAAGGTGTTTTGGTTATGGTAATGGGTATTGATGGCTTGCTTCAGGCAGGTTTAATGTTTGACATGGGTTTTGCTTGGTTTGAGTTTGGGATTAGGCAGGTTTAATGTTTTAACAGGTTTGTTTGGTATATATCCTGGTATGGCTTTTTGGCTTAGGTTTTGCATATGCAGGTTAGGCTTTTGACTTGCTTCAGCTGGTTTGTATGGTTTCAGGCTTTGAGGCCTAGCAGGTTTAAGGCAGGTTATTATTGATTATGGACTTGGATTGAGCTTCAGGTTTGTATGTTGAGGCCGGTTTGAGCCAATGCAGGTTTTGTGAAGTCTTAAGGCTTATGCTTCAGTAGCTTGTATATTTTCTTTACCTTGGTGCTAGTTCTGCTTTCTTTTTGCATCATGGTATGGCTCTTCTGTTGACAGGATATCAGGTTATGCTTGACAGGTTTAGCAGGCTTTTAATACTTCCCTCTCTTTATCCATTGTGCTCATCTTTTGTTTTATATGTTTTCTTTCTATCTCTCAAGCCTAAAGCCTAAGCCTGCTCTTCTATCTCTCCTCTTCCTCTCTCTCCAGTACAGTCTTGCATTAAATATTGTTTATGCTTTTGTACTTTCTGAAAGGGCCACATGGGGAAATGATGAAAGTGTAGTTGCTTGCATATCCCATTTTCTCTGCATATCTTCTTTGGCCAGCTTGATATCTTTGTGACAGTATGCTTTATATTTTTGGCAGAAAGTTGTACTTTTGGATTTTTTAGTTTGATTTGAACTTGCTTCTGAACTATGCAGTTTGACACTTTGAATTGTGCAATTTGACTTTTGTGCATTCATATTTTAGCAAATAAAACTCGTCCCTCTTTGTGAACCGGGAGAAATCCTGTGATTTGCAGAGAGGGTTAACTGATCCCCATCAGTGGCCCTTAATGATGACTGTATTTTTATCTGTCTTTTCAATTCAAATTAACTGTTATTTGACTTTTCTCTTTTCTTTTGCAGGTGAAAAAAAATGGAGCACTGGAGCGAGGGATAGCGGATGAAGATTTGAAGATTAGAAAAATAATTAGGATAGTTTTTATTTAGCTTTAAATAAATGTAATATTATTTTTGTCAACATTTTGTAAACAAAAACAATTATACAAATGACTTAAAGATAAATAAAAATCCTTTTATTTAATTAATTCTTCTCTTCTTCAATTGTTCATTTATTATTTATAGTTCTTTAAATTAAAATAAATTGAAAATAAATTCCAACTTATTTAATCTTTAGAATAATAAATAATTAACTAAACAATATTTCAGTACTGATCAATTAATAAACTTGACGCTTCCAATGTTCAAGGCAAAATAACAGTTAATTACAACAATTGATCAGACGCGTTCCCCCTTTTCACCGATTCTTACCAAACACTGTAAATCCAAACTGCATATATCTTTTGACTGGTTCAATCAAACGAACGTGAATTCAAACCAACTGTAGTCTTTTTTACTGATTAAATCAAAACAATGCGAATTCAACCCGAATCTCGGAATAACTTGCAAAGTGCTGTGGAATTTAAATCCTTCTGAGAATATGCCCACAAAAACCTTAATTCCTGATTAAATGCCAAAGAACGTTCGCCTGATCAAAATTGAGTCAAAGTCAACCAAAACCCTAAGCCAACTGTGTGAACTGTTCTAGAGCCATGAAAACCAGTAAAACCCTAATTGTGTCTGACTGACGAGAAAAGTCCGTTTGACCGATTCTTGAGCCAATCTGAAAAATCAGGAAACGCCTGAAGTTGTGATTTCTTATGGAAAAATGCGAGGGAAAATTTTGGGGTACAACAGGCATCAACAAGGCATAAGCCTTCAACTTAATTTTCCAATCTAGGTCAACTTATCGAGCATCAACTCTAACTTGATATGCTATGTATGCGACCCAATATGAATGTCAGGATAGCAACAATAAAATTGTATAACAACGCAACAACAAACCAACATTGACCATAAGCCCACAACTTAATATTTTACCCATAAGTAGAGACAATAACATCACCTGCTAATTCACACTTTTCAATATAGAACACAATACAACGAGTCAACCAAAGTTTACTACAAATAAACCGCGTAATTATTTGGACTATTACGACTATTTCCAGTTAATTAATTATCTAAACTCTTATTTCTAATTACAAAACTCTTAAAATTATTTTATTAATAATATTAACTCATTATTACTATTATTACTATTATTATAGTTATTATACCAATGAAATGTATATACACATATATTAGTAATTTGTAATACTGAAACTGGTTTTTCAATTGATCTATAATTTACGCTCATGATATACCACCAAAATCTTATTCTCAATTTAACTCATATAAGTCATAGTACCATAATTTAATTGGCATATGAACATGATATATTGTCTTAGTTTGTATTTGACGCTACATTTAACTATATATGCCAATTTGTTTTTCAAAGATAACATTACACTTTATACTTTCACAAAGTAATGCTAAAAGGTGTAAGCTCTATTATTAATTAAATAGGTGTATACTAGTAAACTTGAAATGCTATCTCAATTTCACCTAATGACACTCTGCTACAGTATCCAAGCATATATGCATTGTTTTCTTTCACTAAAGTATACCTAACATATATGTACTAATCATATATCACACTATCACTTTATTAATAAGCCTACCACTAATTTCTGTTACTCATCTTAATTTATTCTAGTGACATACTACTACAATTGATTAAACAAATTTCCATACTGATGATAAATCATGGTTTATCAAAGTTGTATTATTATTTGAAACTCTAACTTACCCTACTGAAAACTTTAAACATGTCAGAATTATACAAAATAAATAAAAGTGACTTTTAGTGATACGAAACAACTCTATTGATAACTTTAACAACACTATTGACAACTCTAACAACCCTATTGACAACTCTATTGATAGTTGTAACAACTCTATTAGAATAGAAATTAACCCAAGTTAACTATTTATCCAAATACTTATCTCTAATTCAAAACTCCTAAAAATCATTATATTAATAATGCTAAATTATTATTATTATTATTATTATTATTATTATTATTATTATTATTATTACTATTATTATTATTATTATTATTATTATTATTATTATTATTATTATTATTATTATTATTATTATTATTATAAAATATTTTATATTGTAAAGATAGCAATACAATAACATATTATATATTTGTAAACATAAGGATGTAGTAACATGAGAATGAACTATCAAATTATCATGATTTCATTATTTTTAAAACACATGCCGCTACAATAACTGAGAACAAATTGACGCAAGCAATATATACATGAGTAAACAAAGTAGTTACTACATCTACGTCTCTTTATTATCGAAGCCCTGTATCTATATGAATGAAAAGTGATCATACAGATACCGGTTATACGAATTAAATCACACGAAAATTATAACAACAAAATTAACAACACATCAATTTTTTCTAAAACACATAATTCGTCATATTTAAGGATTGCTCATCAAAATCTAACAATTTTAAAACCATAGAAATTAAGAATTTCAACCTAAACATGTTTCTAGCCATCATATATTATCATACAATCCCAATAACCATATGAGAACCCACATATCATTCATCGCATATCCTATTATAGAGTCAGAACCCCACCCTTACCTTAGATTGAAAGGCTGCTCTAACTCTTCGATTGTACCTAGCTTTGCCCCCTCTTTGCACTTCTACGTATCTCTTCCAAAACCCTTATTTTCTTCTTTTGTCAAAACCTATTCTTCTCTCTTTCTACTGATACTTCTATTATTTCTAAAGTAACTAATATAATAATATAACTACTATACTATTATTCTTATTCTGCCTTGTTAGGCTTAAATTTCTACACATCTCTTTCTACTACTTATAACATTAAAATAGGTCCACATAAATAATAATAGTATTATTCAATATTAATCCTACAACTTAATCAACTAATTAATTCAACTAAGAACGACACAACTTAAATCAACATTTCACAACTTCAAAAATTTAATCGAAAAATTATTCGAAAATATTTAATTAAATAATTAATTAAATATTGGACGTTACAATTACCGAAGAAAAAGCCATGAATAATCGCAGTCACTATCGAAGTCTGTCTGATTTCACGCGAAACTGATAAGGCAAAATTATTAAAGAGTTCTGACATTAGTTTGTATAGTTGAATAGAGAGAAATGTAGGATTTAAAAACGCAGTAACTGATGGTCGTTTTAATGAGGTTCAATGTTGGTTTGAGGAAATTGAGATTCAAATAACCCTAATATGGGGACGAAGACGATAACGAAAGCAAATCCATATGAACTTTGCACAACTCACAGGACACTACCTTTAATTAGGAAAGTCATTATGGTTTCCAAGCGTAAAAGAAAAGGAACGAGGAAGAATAAAAAAGTTCAAAGAGAATGGGGGAAGGATCAGAAAGAGAGAGAATACGAGGAAAATAGAAAATCAATATATCGATAGTTTTTCATCTTCCCTCTGTAACTTTTAAGTTCAAGAGGTACATTGAAAATGTTAAGTATCTTTCTAATTTTTAAAGAGTGGTTCAATTGTCAAATATGTGAAATACATTCTAAGATGAACACATCAACAACATTTAATACCAAAATTCTATAATTTAAGCAAAAACATGATTAGTCTATAATACCCTTAAAATAAAGTTAAATAAACATGTTTAAGAAGAGTTTAGAATTAATTAAATTTCATTTATTTTTTCATGTTGATTTCTCTAAGATGGTTCATATTTTCCTTGTCAATCTATCTATCTATTTCACGAGATTCTACTATTATTATCTTATCACACATACACCCTCATCTACCCTAAGTTTATACAAACTAATAATTTTATTGATTAAAAAAACCAAAAGTTCTAAATACAAAAACCCTCTTAAATGCAAACAACATTAACGAAAAAACAACACTCTTCTCTCAAAACGCCGAACCCCCGTTTCTTCAATCCCTAATATTCATTTTTCACATAACCACACCCCTTTTGAAGAACCCTTTTTCACCAAGTTTCGTTTTTGATCGGAACCCAACTTTCCTCGTCCTCAATATTGAATGCCCACAATCTCCTTTTCGCATTTATATATCTCCTCACTTCGTTGTTGATTTTCCCCTTTCACTCTCCAACTGTGTTGGGATTCAACCTTTTTCGTTAGGGTTTTGATAATTTGAAGTCTTTTCTTCTTTTAACTAAGCAACTTTATTTTTATTTTGGTTTGTTGTTTTCATTCATGGGGATTTTTGTTCCACAATCTGATTTTTAATTTTTGGGATTCGTTTTTGGTAGTTGCTGAGGTTCTGAAATTGTTGTGTTCTAGGTTTATTTGTTGTTGTTGATTTTAGGTATAATCTAGAATTGGGCAAGTTGAATAATAATCTGTATCCTGATTTTTGTTGTTGTATTTTATGCGCTGTAATTGTTTTCCCCTTCAAGAGTTTGAGGGGAAGTTCCACTGTTGGAAGCTTTTTTGTTTGATGTTTTAGTTGATTTCAATTTCAACATTGGTTATTGGGGTTTGTGTTATCAAGAGGAAGTTGTGGTGGTTTATTGGATTGGGTAGGGTTGGTAGGTTTACTTGGGTGGGTTGAAAGATAAAGGCTTTTGCATGGGAGAACAAGAAGAGTGGGCACAGCCACAAAGTGGGTTACTGCCAAATGGTTTGCTACCAAATGAAGCTGCTTCTGTGATACAGGTGCTTGACTCGGAGCGGTGGTTGAAGGCTGAACAAAGAACTGCAGAGCTAATTGCTTGCATTCAGCCTAATTCGCCCTCCGAGCAACGCCGAAATGCAGTTGCTGAGTATGTCCAAAAGCTGATCACAAAGTGCTTCCCTTGTCAGGTGAGTGTTATATGGTGGTTGTGAATTGTTTCTTGCTTGAGAACTTTTGATTAATTAGGTTTGGTTGTGCGTTATTTTAGCTTATAAGTATAACTGTGCTATGAATTATGATACTGCAGTTATTGATGTTTGTTGTTGAGTGTTCCAATTTGGTTTTGATAGTGAAGTAATTTTGTACGTGCCATTTTGACTCATCAATTGATGGTGTTGTTTTTCATTTCTAATTCTTCATTATTGTGTGAATGGACTTTTTCTTTTCAGTTACAGGTGTTCACCTTTGGGTCTGTTCCCCTAAAAACGTATTTGCCTGATGGAGATATTGACTTAACTGCATTCTGTAAGAATCAAGCTTTGAAGGATAGTTGGGCACACCAGGTTCGTGACATGCTGCAGAATGAGGAGAAGAATGAGAATGCAGATTTTCATGTCAAGGAGGTTCAGTACATCCAAGCAGAAGTATGTTTTCTAATAAGACACGATACTTGTAATTTTTGAACTATGTTTCTGTTCTTTAGTGTTGACTAATCGATGAATTCATTATATTAGTTACTTTCTCACAGTGCTGTCACTACCATGCTTAAGTTTGGAATCTTCTCGAGTTTATGCTAGGCATTGTCACATTCAGTGAGAATGAAAGTTTCATATAGTGAAGGGGAGGGTAAATAACCCTCTCTTTCTTTGGTTTGCAAGGAGACGGGGGAAAACAAAACTAGTTTACTAATTACTATTACTATACCCTTATGATGGTAAATATTTTAAAACAAGTAACAGTAGTTTTTACTGATATTCTCTTCCCTCCAAATCCTCCAACGTCGGAGGGAAACCAAAGAAGAAAATGTTATAAAAAATCCACCTTTCCCATTCATCACAAAAATGAAAACATAATAGTATGCTAATAACTAAGGAGTAGAATTGGTGGGTTATCTTTAGCTAATTAACTCATGGAGTACATGATGGATTTATTGTTGTGCTTTCTTTCGTTATGTTGGTTTGAGTCTGAACAAGCACATGCTTCCTTTCATCACTAGAGCACTGCTTTATTTGAGGATGAAAAGGACTACATTTAGGCGGTTGTTCGAGATTGTTATTTGTTACAAAAGCTTAATGTCATGGAACAATAGTCCCAGTTTTTTATATTAAAAAAATGATATATTATGCACATGAACTGATGCTGTGGTATCCATAAATACAAGATTTAAATTACGTCTCTTGTGAATAATTCATTTATTGTTAATATGGGGAGTGAATGTTAATTATATTTTTTGTCGTATATGGGGAAGTGAATGTTAATTATATTTTTTGTCGTATATGGGAGAGTGAATGTTATTTATATTTTTTGTCGTATATGGGGGAGTGAATGTTAATTATATTTTTTGTCGTATATGGGGAGGGAATGTTGATTATATTTTTTGTCGTATTACTTTCTAAGGTAATATTTCAGTTTGTTCTAGAAGCTTGAGGATAGTGTTCCTGATCACAATGAAGCAGTAACACAATTTTAGGTTGTATTGCTGTGGTGAAAGATCTAATACTAGTTAAAACAATTGCTAGCTTGAAAAACACATTTTCTTCAATTAATTGTTGATTTCATATTTTATTTTTGAAGTTAATTGTTAAATATGACTGCATTTAAAATACATAAAATTCTCGGTGTTGAAAACTTGATGTACTAGCTATTTGTTTCCACAGTTATAATTCTTGCTATTTCACCTGTATAATTGATATTTATATTTCTTCCTTTCATATTTGCAGGTGAAGATTATTAAATGTCTTGTTGAGAATATCGTAGTAGACATTTCATTTAATCAGCTTGGAGGGTTGTGTACCCTTTGTTTTCTTGAGGAGGTAGTTTGGCGTATCCCTGAAGCCTCCTATATCATTTTCTTTGAAGTATACCATGATACTAATTTTTACTTCAATTTACAAGAATTTGAATTTGCTGCTGTAGGTTGATAGTCTGATCAACCAAAACCATTTATTCAAGCGTAGCATTATACTGATAAAAGCATGGTGTTACTACGAGAGCCGAATACTCGGTGCCCACCATGGACTTATCTCTACTTATGCATTGGAGACTTTGGTTCTTTACATATTTCATGTTTTCAACAATTCCTTTGCTGGACCACTTGAGGTAAAAGACATGACACCACTTCCTTTAATTTAGTGTTTTTGACTATTGATTCAGTGTGGAATTGTCATCGCTTATGTAGGTTTTGTATCGATTCTTGGAATTCTTTAGTAAGTTTGACTGGGATAATTTCTGCGTAAGTTTATGGGGCCCAGTACCAATTATTTCACTACCAGATGTGACAGGTAGTTAGCTACATTGTAATGAAAGATTCCTATTCCATATAGATTTGAGTCCCGTCATATGTATTGATTGTCTTCACTGCCTAACAATTTTCAATTCATACAGCCGAGCCTCCTCGAAAAGATGCTGGAGAATTACTGCTCAGTAAATCATTTCTTGATGCATGTAGCTCAGTTTATGCTGTTTTGCCGGGTGGTCCAGAAAATCAGGGGCAAACCTTTGTTTCCAAGTATTTCAATGTCATTGATCCTTTGCGTGTGAACAATAACCTTGGCCGCAGTGTAAGCAAAGGTATGTTGATCTCAAAAAATTGTTTTATTTTATACATATGTATCATTGTTGGATTAATAATTTTGACATAACTCATTTTATATGGACCTGTCCTTGCCTCTCATCTTTTATTGTGACATTATAGCAGTTGTTCAGACTTCAATATGAATGAACTTTGTAAACCTTGAAGAATTGTGATACATGGGCTGATGGTTATCATCTTTTTATATACATGGATTTCTTTTTCTGATATCATGTAGTCTCTTTCCTTGTTTTTTCCTCTCGCAAACAATGAATGTATAATGAATATAATTAATAGAACTCATTAGCCGACATAAATTGTGTTTCATCATTTTCACGAATACCAGCTATGTCATGACTATTGTAATGTACTCTTAACTATATGTTTTGGAAAATTGAAAATAAAGAAACCTTCAATATGTTCATATAATCAAACAAATGGTGAGAGTATGGCATATTTTATGCACCCTGCTACAGCTAAGCTTGTACTATATTAATGGGTTATAAGTTACTCTTAATTACTTTTTTTGTGATTAGGCTAATTCTGCATTTATTATACTTGCGAACCAGGTAATTTCTTCAGGATACGCAGTGCCTTTGCATTTGGGGCTAAAAAGTTGGCTAGATTACTTGATTGTCCAAAGGATGAGTTGTTTCTTGAAATCAATCAGTTCTTTTTGAACACTTGGGACCGGCATGGAAGTGGGCAACGACCTGATGTTCCAAGCAATGACCTATGGCGTTTGAGGTTATCTAATCATGACCAATCACTGGGTTCTGAGAATCTCCGGAACAATAGTCATAAGATTGATAATACCTCCAATCGCGAGGTTCATGTTGAAAGGGAACAAATTTCACACAGTGGTGTATCTCAGCATAGTAATTTATCGTCTGAAAACTCGTCTAAAAATAGTGATGTATCTACATTTTCCCATACTCAGAGTCAAAAGAGTCATGTAAACCAAAATAATTCAAGGAACTTGAGTCAAGCTCGAAGGGAAACTACTTCTACTCAAGGTGCTTATGTTGATAAAATTCAGAAAAATATGAAAACTGATAATCCGGTTAGTGATCTTCGTGGAAAGTATCTATTTGCCAGGACACGTTCTAGCCCTGAGCTGACTGACTCGTACGGCGAAGTTTCTTCCCAAGGGAGGCGTACAAGAACTGAAAATATTAAAGGCCAGAATTCCTTTGTAAAATTGGAGAATGGTCGTAGGAAGAATTTTGAGCCAGTTGTAGCTGCAAGAGTCGATGACTCATCCGGTAGGCATTCATCTCGTCAAGTTGTTGGCAGTGCTGCTGAACCGATCAATAATCATGATGAACCAAGCTCAGGTGTCCTGGGTGAAGAGTTTGCATCTGTTGCCGGAGCAGGTGGAATGCAGATGATGAATCAGGAGGAGCAAGACCTTTTGAATATGATGGCGTCTCCTGCTGCTCAAGGTTTCAATGGCCAGCATGTTCCAATGAATTTACCTCCAGGTCACCTACCATTCCCATTTCCACCTTCCGTTCTTGCATCAATGGGATATGGTCAACGGAACATGGCTAACTTTCCTTTTATTGAGGCTCCTTGGGGTTCAAATATGCAATTTCCTCAAGGTTTAGTCCCGTCGCCATTGCATCCATATTTCCCTGGATATGGGTTGACCTCAAATACTCAAGATTTAGCTGAACCTGGCAACGAGAATTTCAGTACCGTTGAAGTGAATGTAACAG